AAAAAAAAAAAAAAAAAAGACGAGATTAAGAACTCAAACCCAAAAGGATTCTTTACAAAAGAAAGAAGAAAAAAATTAACTATCAACTTAAGATAAATATCAATAAACAAATTAAATTCAATTAACACAAAATGGACCATTCTTTAAGATTCCAACTAATAAAAACTTTATCACAGGGATAACAGACAGAATAGATAATAAATGCAAACAAAATCATTTACCTTCATTCCCCACATCATCATTCATTAGTCCCCCTAGCCACATCTTCCAGTCCTCATCATCTGCTGTATTGGGATCATACATATCTGGCGTGATATCTGGAGCTTGGAGCTCTGCCTCTAGTTGGCCCAGGGGAACATCTTTCAGGGGCATCTTAGAACGCGTTCGAAATGCAATAAGACTGTCATCCATGGGCTAGCCAACAGAGAAAGAAAAAAAACCGTCACTGAGTAAATAATATTTCCAAATTCTCCAAATCTCTTCATCGCCACTGTATTTCCCATTTCTAATTAAATCACAAGCTTTCTCTTCTAAACAATTTGGGTGGGTGGTGCCTATGGTTCAAAGGAGTAGGGCGCTGGCCCCATATGCCGGAGGTGGCAGGTTCAGGCCCAGCCCTGGCCAAAAACTGCAGAAACAAAATTTATGATTCTAAACAATCTGGGTTTATTATTGTTTGTTTGTCTGCAAACTTTAAGGAACATGCCATAGGCTGAGGCGGGTGGATTGCTGGGGAGCTCACAGGTTCGAGACAACCCTGAGCCAGAACAAAACCCCGTCTCTAAAAATAAAAAATAAAACATACCCAGGCGTTGTGGCGGGCTCCTGTAGTCCCAGCTACTCAGGAGGCTGAGATAAGAGAACTGCTTAGGCCCAAGAGTTTGAGGTAGCTGTGACACCACAGCACTCTACCAAGGGTGACAAAGACTTTGTCTCAAAAAATAAATAAATGAAATAAAATAAAAAGAATCTCTGGAGTCCAAGAGTTTGAGGTTATGAGCTATGATGCCACGACACTCTACCAAGGCTGGCAAAGTGAGACTCTCTCTTTCAAAAAAGAAAGAAAAGAAAAGAAACATGCCATTAAGTTTGAAATGAATTTCTAGGAATAGTTACAACAGTTTTATTGAAATAAAATTCAGCAGCTCGGCGCCTATGGCTTAAGTGGCTAAGGCTCCAGCCACATACGCCCAAGGTGGTAGGTTCGAATCCAGCCCGGGCCCACCAAAACAACAATGATGGCTGCGACCAAAAAACAGCCGGATGTTGTGGCAGGCACCTGTGGTCCCACCTACTTGGGAGGTGGAGGCAGGAGACTCACTTCAGCCCAGGAGTTAGAGGTTGCTGTGAGCTGTGATGCCAGGGCACTCTACCCAGGGCAACAGCTTGAGGCTCTGTCTCAAAAAAAAAAAAAGAAAGAAAATTCACCCTTTTAGGCTTGGCGCCCGTAGCACAGTGGTTACAGCGCCAGCCACATACCCCAAGGCTAGAGGGTTCAAACCCGGCTGGGCCAGCTAAACAATGACAACTGCAACTAAAAAAATAGCCAGGTGTTGTGGCAGATGCCTATAGTCCCAGCTACTGGGAGGCTAAGGCAAGAGAATCGCTTAAACCCAAGAGTTTGAGGTTGCTGTGAGCTATGATGCCACAGCATTCCATGGAGGGCGACATAGTGAGACTCTGTCTCAAAAAAAAATCCACCTTTTAAAGTATATATAATTGAGGCTGAGCAAGGTGGCTCACACCTATGATCCCAATACTTGGGAGGCGAAGGTAGGTGGATTGCCTGAGCTCACAGGTTGGAGATTACCCTGCAGAGCGCCCATCTCTAGAGACCACCCGCCTCTAAAAAATAGCCGGGCATTGTGGCAGGCACCTGTATCCCAGCTGCTTGGGAGGCTGAGGCAAGAGGATTGCTTGAACCCAAGAGTTGGAGGCTGCTCTGAGCTAAGATGCCACGGTATGCTACCAAGGGTGACCAAGACTCAGTCTCAAAAAAATGAAAAATAAAAGTATATATAATTGAATGAACATTACGATATTCATAGTTATGTAACCACCACCACTATCTATTCCAGAACATTTTCATTAACCCATAAAACCCATAGCCATTAGCAGTCACTTCCTTTTGCCTCTCTTCCCACCCCCTATTAAGCATTAATTTATGTCTTATCTCCACAGATTGGCTTCTGCTGGACATTTCATATGAATGGAATAATACAATGTGTGGCCTGTCCCTGGTTGCTTTCATACAACAGAACATTCAAAGATCACCCTTAGTATAACATGTATCAGTACTGCCTCTCTCTTTTTTTTTTTTTTTTGCAGTTTTTGCAGTTTTTGGCCAGGGCTGGCTCTGAGCCACAGGTGCGGCCCTCAGTACTTCCTTTTTATTGCTCAAGAATATTCCACAACTCAAATGCTACCTACCAAATGCAAACAATGTGGCCTAATATGACCCTTATGTTAACCCAAAACAAAAAATTCATACTTTAGAGGGTATAAATATTCCATTATATGGATATGTAACATTTTACCTCTTTATCAGCTGATGAACATTTGGCTTGTTCCCACTTTGGGGCTATTAAGAATAATACTGTTGGCTTAGCACCTGTGGCTCAAGCAGCTAAGGCACCGGCCACGTATACTTGAGCTGGCAGGTTCGAATCCAGCCCAGGGCCCACCAAACAACAATGACGGCTGCAACCAAAAAATAGCCAGGGCATTGTGGTGGGCACCTATTATCCCAGCTACTTGGGAGGCAGAGGCAGGAAAATTGCTTGAGCCCAGGAGTTGGAGGTTGCTGTAAGCTGTGAGCCTACAGTACTCTATCCAGGGCAACAGCTTGAGGCTCTGTCTCAAAAAAAAAATACTGCTGTGGCTCGGCGCCTCGGCGCCTGTGGCTCAAGAGGCTAAGGCATCAGCTACATACACCTGAGCTGGTGGGTTCAAATCTAGTCCGGGCCAGCCAAACAACAATGACAGTTGCAACCAAAAAATAGCTGTGCATTGTGGCAAGCACCTCTAGTCCCAGCTTCTTGGGAGACAGAGGCAGGAGAATTGCTTGAGCCCAGGAGTTAGAGGTTGCTGCGAGCTGTGATGCCACAGCACCCTCCCCAGGGCAACAGCTTGAGGCTTTGTCTCAAAAAAAAAAAAATAATAATAATACTGCTGGGTGGCACCTGTGGCTCAGTGGGTAAGGTGCTGGCCCCATATACCGAGGGTGGCAAGTCTGAACCCGGCCCCAGCCAGCTAAAAACAGCAGTGGCAACGCCAACAAAAAATAGCCGGGCATTGTGGCGGGCACCTGTAGTCCCAAGGTACTCAGGAGACTGAGGCTTAAGAGAATCGCTTGGCTCGGCGCCT